TAAAGTAATTAAAAGGTTAGGCAAAAATATTTAAAAAAAATATCCACGACTAATCCTTTTATTTCACATTTTAATTTGTTATATTGACCTTCTATACATTCTCAAAAGTAGGTACTAAAACTACCCTATATAAAATTGTACTTTAGAAGGCAATGAAACATACATTAAATATTTAAAATCTTCGAAATCAAGTGTATAATACCATTTTCGGGCATCGGGAATTTTATATATTTTTTATTTATTGTCAATTTAAAACTACATTATTCACCGATGTTTAAAATTACATTCTCATAATTTCAAAGCATTTAGTAATTCTTTTGTTTCGTCCCCGTAGCGGTAACATCTAGCCTAAGCCTGCTTGTTTATTCAAAATTATTCGGTGGCAGCCAACTGCACCTACTTGAACGAATTTCAGCACAGTTTCGAATTCCCTCTTACTGATGTAACGCGTTGCGTAAAGATAATATATTATAGCTGGCGCCTACGTCCCGATAAAGTTACTACAAACCTAATCAACTCATTCACAGATCGTCCATAATATGAGTTCAGTGACTAATACCAGGCTTCTCGGTACTGCCGAGCATTGTGACAAATAGCGATATCAAGTCACCGCAATTTACTCAAAATAATCGATAGGAGGCATGTTTGCAATTTTATAGGCAGCGCCTGACGTAATTTTTTTTCGTAATTTCAGGAATGCGTGTGGAAGGCGATGTTTGGCCAGCTTTCATCACTTGATTGTTTTGGTGATATTTCGTGGGATGGGAGTTCACTGAAGCGCCTTTGACGGCACTGTCACTAATATATTTAGAGAAATGCGGCTATACTTATGTACTTTTGCTTGAAATTGGTACTGAGCTACTAAACAGCTAATTATGTAATTCTTGGCTCCATATTTCGCATTATTTTACGTATTTACATTGTAAAAAAATGGACCTAATTTCAGTCAATTTCACTCAATAATGTTTCAATCTGTCCATACCCGATTGAGTGAAATTTTCCTCTATTAATATGAGTACAGCTAAAATTTTATGAGTTAAACTATCAACTTTTGTTCAAATATTACCAAAAATGTGTAAAATTATCAAAATGTCCCATATTGACTGAAAATATACACTGTAAAAAAATTTCACTCAAATTTTACTAAATTTTACTCAATAATATATCATTTTCAGTCCACACCCGATCGAGTGAAATTTCCACTCTATTAGTATGAGTACAACTGATTGAAAATTGTGTAAAATTATCAAAATGTACCATATTGACTGAAAATATACACTGTAAAAAAATTTCACTAAATTTTACTAAATAATGTATCAATATCTGTCCACAGCCGATTGAGTGAAATTTCCACTTTATTAGTATGAGTACAACTGATTGAAACTATTCATCAGAAATGAGTGAGTTTTACTCAAATCCAAGTTACTGCTCACTATCAATTGAGCGACTTTTGACTCTATTCTGAGTATATAAAACCTATTTAGAGTTCTTTTTCTCTAATATGATTTAAATTTAACTAATTATTGAGTCATTTTATACTCTGACTTATTTTTTAATTAATTAAATATTAAGTGCAAAAATATATCATTCATAAATGATTAATTAGGATATAGTGTTGAAATTAATTCACTTTGCGGAGCCTCCTCCTGTCCTGGCTGAGACCCGCCACCGCCGGCTAAGGCTTGTTCTCCTGGCGATCACGCTTTTCTGTAGCATCTAACGAGTCCCTGTTAACTGTGGTCGAGATTACAGAAGCAATATGTAAGTGGTGCCATCTTCATGGCGACATTCAAATTACTTGAAATTAATATACATGCATTTAAACTCGCTCAGTAATGAAGACGTTTACTCTGATTTAAGTGCACCAAATACGAGTTTCTGAGAAGAATTTATTTAAGGATTACCTATATTTACTCAGTTTTAGTTTACATATAATCACAAATGAGTAAAATGATCAAAATAACAATATAGAGTGAAAATGTACTCAATAATTTCACTCACATTTTTTTTACAGTGTACCCATATTCAATTTTTGTAATATGGTCTGTCGGTAGTGTCGAGAAAAAACTAGCCATATTCGTATGTTGAAATAAATGTATCTACAAGGTCGTTTGTTTTGTAGTATGTTAACTATTGCTACTGGTAAGATTTTAAAATCTAGAATGATCATGTTTTTTATCAAAAAAATTAAGTTAAGTGAATTACTTTAAGATTCCTTGAAAGTAACTATATTTTTTACATTTTTTATAATTCGGATACAATTGTACGCAACTATCAGTGTACTCATTTTTCCAAACCTATTTGGAGGAAATTGTTATATTGCATTATGAAAAAAAGTGATTAAATATCTTCTATACTTGTGTGTCATAATCTCATGTAAAAACTTCTTCAGATCACAAATAAGTTAATGTATCTCACTACCAAACACTTCCTTAAAATGTTAGCGGCTTTAAAAATTGGTTTGTTTAATTTTTTTGCGACTTCTCAGCCACTTATTGAGATATTTCTGTGAAGCTTGACACAGGGCGATTTTGAGATAAATAGTTTTTTGTTTTTTGTTATACCTATTTTGCTAGTAGAGGTGCTAACAAAACATTACTTTATTTAATGTAAAAAAATGTACACTGTAAATAAATCGGTCTGAGTGAAAGCAAAAAGGTCCTGACTGAATTCATTGAGTGAAATTATTGAGTATATTTTCAGTTTTCAGGGCATTTTGATAATTTTACACATTTTCGATAATATTTGATTTAAAACTGACAGTTTCACTCATAAAATTTTAGTTGTACTCAGTGAAATTGAGTGAAAATAATTCCAATTTTTCTTACAGTGTACTTATTGTATATCGCCGATATAAATAATTCCTAAGAATAATTCGAATTTTTTGTTACTGCCATCAATTACGATCGGTTGAATATTTTAGTGAATTTTAATTCAATTAAATTTCAAACTGAATTATCCCCATTCAAAAGTCACTACGGTAGATACTGACTTTTCAGTAGAGGGTAAGGTAGTTTATATTTAATCAAAAGGACATTTAGTTACAAATTTACCAAAAACAGTGAAGTTTAATTAAATTGGAAAACCCCCTGTAACTAAACTGCAGTATAAAATGTAAACATGCTTTTTTCAGACACTATGTACCATGTGCAGCAAGTGTACCTTTTTTACTGTAAATAAATTGACGTTTAAAAGGTCTCTATCAACAAAAAACAATTCAGCCGAAAATATGAGACTGTTTTAAAGTGTGTTCTTAACAACATCTATGTTGTCGATACAAAATAAGCTTACATTTACATTTGGTTATCCCAAAAACTGCTCCATGCTAATAATTTCGTTGAAATAGCTTAGAAAATGGAGTTAAAGGCTCGTAATTTTTTAAAGAAGCATTTTGTTATGGTGTATTTGGTAGTTTGTTTTTTTAATCTTTACAATATTGGGTCAAATTTTGGCACTTTGTACAATTAAAGACACGAATTTCTGCCCGTCGTAAAGTATTTCACGTTAAAATTAGATTCTCTACGTGCGACCTGTATATATCGACGATACGTGCAATTGTCGGTGCACTACCGGTAAATAGATAGACGCAACTCCAAAATGAGGATGTTTACACCAAACCGACTCGCGCTGGGAATCCTGCCGCTAAATGTCACACCTCAGGACCACAGGACCACATGGAGGATAGCGTCGTCACAGTCAGAGTGGGGACTATAAAACCCGTACCCACATGGAGCCGCTTGCACAGCTTTGAATGAAACCACATAACCAAGTCGCTGATGATTCATTTAGATAAGTCGACTCACGCGTACATATAAGAGTGATACATCGCGATTCCAAGCAAACAAAATTAATCAATGGCATTCTGTTGCCTGTCTGTTACAGGTAAATAATCTTTAAGTGCCTCTCGGGCGATTATCGGTGTCTACAGTGGGTTCTCAATATTTGTTAAGATTAGTCATTAGGTGGTCGTGATGTGATCTAGTGTGCGGTTTCGACTCGAGGCGATTGTTTCGAAGGAATGCCTCAGTTTTGTACCTAGTTTGGATAAATCTGTACTTGTCGGAAAATTGTGGTAAGTTTGCATATTTCGGTTATTTCGTAGTCTAAAGCATTAGCATAAAATTACAAATTTTAAAGTACAATTGCTACAAATTATGTGCTTCAAATTATTAGTCTGTTGCACCACATTTCATATACAGTTAACTGTGTGTCTCATCCAACATATTTGGCAATATTCGATAACGCAATTTTTATACAAAAAAAATCAAACGATAATATCTCTTCCACTATCAATAGCTGTAAGAAAACCAGAGATCGTATCTATAATTTACCAATTGTTCCTTTTCAACATATATTTTGAATTATTTTCAAAATTTTCACATTTCCTCTAAAATTGTTTTAACACCATAAATATTTATAAGGGAATAACAAATTTGTATTAGTCCATTACTGTTTATTGAAATATTAGCTACGAATATTCAAAGTATTTGTAGATAAGTCAAATATCAAAAATTGTTAGCATAAATTAAAAAATAAACAGTGATTCAACATGAACTTTCTTTAAGGCGACAAATAAATTACTGCAATAGCTAACAATTTAACTGATTTTATTGACGTGTGAAAAAATATGTTGCTAATGCTTTTAGAAAAAAAAAACATCACTACAACCAAAATATGCAAATTTCCAAATTCCGTATTCATTAGGATCAAACAAGTCTGTGCTAAAAACTAATCTAGCTCTTATCTTAATCGTTTTAAATTTGTCCGTCAGCTGATAATTACGTTACAAATCCTCTATTGTTACTAAAAGTAAATATTACGCTATTTCATTCCTTATCGTCGCACAAATCTGCATCAATTTGAGGAAAATCGTTATCTGATACAAAATCTACTGCACTTCAATTAATAATTTATATGCAAAGATATATTTAGTAAACTTTCAGTAACTGCCGTAGAAAATTTTAAAATTGATGATTGAAGGAAAGTTAAGACGACAAAATTAAGAAAATGTGGGGTCGAAACGCAGCTAGAGGTGGGGATCGCTCGGATACCCCCTATTTCTCCACCTCCACATCGCATACCACCACAGGGGTGAACCGTGCCGTAAATCGCGTCGACCTATGGAAACCAACAAAGGAGTGTTTAGGTCAGCAGTTGAGGACGGCTCAGTCGGAAACAAAGCATATTACTACGGGAGGCTGGACCTCAAGTCTACCGGTCAGACGGAAAAGTGTGACGCTGGTTAGTCCCAGTCCGACTGTTAACTTGCCAACTTGCAAGTGCGCGAATATTAATAAAGTGGTGTCCGGTCCTCATGTTTGTAAGAGATGTGTTGCTTGAGTGTAGCGGGAGGCGGATCGGCCTCTTCGGGATGTTACAGTGAGTTTTGCCCCACATTTTTTTTTCGGCAAGGAAAGTGACCGCGGATGAAAGCGAAAGTTCCTGCGGTGTGCTTTTGTTGTTCGTGGATTTACCGATCGCCTTGCGCCTCAGTTAAGAAGTAGTCATGAAATTGTCAATAAAACCTAGAGGTGCAATAAATAAATAAAACAAATTAGTCGGCACGTTTTTTATTTGTTTTCAATAAATGTGCAACACGTGTCCAGTGAAAAAAATTTTATTTTCAGCTTTTTGACTGTATATCACGGTAACTAAAAAATGTGAGATTGCAACTCTGAGATTTATTACATTTTGCAAAAAAAGTCAGTGTTTATTCGTATAAACTATATTTAAAAACACCACCTCAAACGATTTTGATAATATTATGGTTGATCTATTTTTTGTTTCGGTGTTTTAAGCGCTAATAAAAATATAGGTCTTTGTATCTCAAATAGTTCACCGACAAAATCTATAGTCTGTGCGGTCGAAAGTAAAAGTTTCACGCTCGTTTGTTTTCATAGGTTAATAACGAACGGATCTATTTATATCTTTTAAGAATACGTTTCAAATCAAATGATTAACAATTAATTTCATTTAAAAATTCTCATCATTTTTGTACGAAAGACATGGAAAAATTCACTTACAAAAATTATTTGCAATATTCCCTTCCTTAAAAAAAACATATATTGTGTTATCAACTGTTGTATTTTTACTTTATTATTAAAATAATAAGCTAACTTAAATAAATTTAGGAAACATTTTTTTCAATTTATTTGAATCAGCTTATTACTTTATAATAGAGCAAAAATGTCTTCTTATTTCAACTTTAGCATCGACAAATTTCAAAATAATAATTTAGGTGTTATAAATTTTCATGCACAAAGTATAAAAATGATGCGAATGATCTTAAAACAGGATTTTCTTAACCGGCTCGGTTTCGTTGCAGATAATTGCACAGCAATCGTCCTCAGCATTGCAATCCTTCTATCAGGACTGCGAGTTTCTTCCAGCGCTCCAACAGGCGACGAAGGATGGTGGATCAACCCTTGCAACAAACAACCCACCATCGCCAGACATGGCAGAAGCGCGGCGGAGAGCGAACTCAATGGGTTCTTGTTCAACATGGATACCAAGTTCTTCAAGGAAGTCAAAGACATGTACAAGGTACTTATGTCATTACCAGTTATCTTAATCCTTGACAAAACATTGAATTGTCTTGATTTTTGATAGTTTTTTTTCGAACGACAACTTACAGTGCTTTTCTTTTCAGTCCATTGAAAATGTAAAGTTCAGGGGGAATTGTCCCAGGATTAACAACATGTTGATACCTATTCAGAACGCTACCTCATATACTTCGGTAAGTGTTTTTTGTTTTGTATACGCCAAACGATTTAGTAATCGAAAACCCAGAATTAGTACATAAAACATGAGATCTCATTTAAAGATGTACTAAATATTTTATTCTTTTTCAGGCAATGCAGGCGTTTTACGAGACGTTATTGCAGTTTGCCGTCTTCATTGATAAACTGAAGAACACGCCCGTCAAGACGAAGGGCGAGTTTGACACAGCCAGACGCAAGCGCATCTTCGAAGAGGCCAAAGTAAACTTAAAACGGTTGATTTGCGAATACAACGACACACTCAGCGAGGGTTCCAACCATCGCGAGGCCCCCAACAAAATTACTTCCGTTCAAAAACATAAAACTAAAGTTCGCAAGATAAACATGAAGTGCCTGCCAGCTTCTATGAACCACACGCAGGCCCACTTCATGGATTTCGACTTCTTCAGGAAACTGCAGAAGTTCCTGAAGCAGAGCCGAAGGATCCTTAAATTGAAAAAGAAAGGGAAGAAGAGTGCGAATAAAATTGTTAAAAGGAAGAAAAAACCGAAGAATCAGTGAATTGTTCGCGTGGTTGATTTTTTTTCAACAAAATCGAGGTGATTGACTGAAAAGTTATCTGAGGGGACACGAAATTGAGGTATTAGAGAATTTGCAAATAGTTTACTTAAAACTGCTGTGATAATAGAGATAAGTTGTAATTATTACTTAATTTATTTTATTTATTTGTAACTTAAGTTCTTGAGACGACAGTTCCGCTGTCTGATTTTTGTCATAGGCGTGATAAAAGATGAATGATGTAGCTAACCTTTCATCGACACGTCCTTGATTTGTATTATACATTGTGATATATTTCGTAGTAATTATTTATTTTATATTTATTTCTTTCGACCGATTACTATAGTTTGAAAAAAGACTGGCTTCATCAAATTGTAGTAATTGTATTTTAATGTATATTGTGCAATTTTACACAGGATGTTCGCATTGTTGGTACCCTTTAAAATATTCTAGAATTATTCAAGATAATATATTTATTTTTACTTTTTCGGATCAATATTCAAATCGCTTTTGTCATTTTATAAATTCGTTACTAAATGTAAAAGAAATTAAAAATAATAATATTTCAAAATTTAAATAATTAAATTACTTTCATGATCAAACGAACAAAGGGTACAAAATATTTTTATAAACTTTAAATTGCATCGCATGACTTATTTATTGTAAATTGTCTTTATCGAGTGGTGCCGATTTTTACAAATAAAAATTTCTGTCGTGAACCAGCTCGCTGAAAGACATTACCGTGTGCATTCCAAGTGCATTTCCATCATTTATTTATGAATTGTGAATTTTTTTCTCATCGGAATAAGTATTATGTATTTTTATTTTCTATAAAGATGTGATCGAATACTTAGACAATTTTTGTAAATATATTTTTTATACATACAACCTTTTTCATTTGCTCCTACCCCAAATGTAATTTTAATCGGATTTTAACGTGATGTAACTACTTAAGCTTGATTTAATTTTAATAGAATAATTTGTCTACTACTGTTACTGCCATAAAATTAAATAGTTGCTAATGATATCGTGCAGGAATATAATCGGATTATGTCAAATGCCTTGTTAATGTGTTCAGGTAGTAAAACCGAAACTCAAAAGGACTGACAATGTTTAACAACTCAAAGAATTTATCTGAATCTATTTGCATGAAAATCAAGCTCACACTTACTTGCCATACAAAAAAAGAATAGATCGTTGAAAATATTTATATTATGAGAAAAGCAGATGATATTCTTAAAGGTAAGTTTGTCCTTAAAGGTAAGTTCGACATCTTAAAGGTAAGTTTTAAAGACACAATAAAAAGTTTTTAGGCTTACATAAAGTTTTTAGACAATGCCATTTGCTGTTGAGACCTTTCTAAATAGTAGAAAACTGTATTTCTAGACTTTTATGGCTTCAGCGAAGTAATTAAATATACATTTATTACTTTGCAGATTTTTAAAAAGTGTTTGACAGACTAAGGTTTTATATACTTACTGATTCTGCGAATTTTTGTATTCGATTAGTCGATTTTTCATCGATTTCTGCAAAATACTCGCAGACATATTAAAGAAAATGTGATATATTTTTTTTAATTCCAATTCCCTGTATCTCGCATAATAGTGAGGAATACCCTGTATATTTTTGGAAAGCAGAGAACACCCACTTTTTGACTATGCCATAGCAACTATATTTCCATTTAAAAGAAACTAAATTTTGATCGGTGTACCGAAAAAATTATTAAAAAATTAAGTTATCTCGTTTAATAAATACAGAACGTTTCATTTTTGGTCGATTTCTTTCTTGTTTGTTAAATAATTTTTCTATATTTATTATAAATTATTTATAAAAAAAAGAAATATTTATAAATTTATTTTATTGCTCGATTTAATTTTATTACATCGTATAACATACGAATATATTTTCAGTTATGAAAATCTACTGTTTATTAATTTGTTTCGATATCAAATTAGCAATTTCTAAATAAAAACTACGCCACTGGATTCTGCAACCTCTCAACGTGGTTTATACCAAATTTCAGAAAAAAAAACATTTTCCAATTTTCAAATTTGATTTTCAAAATTGAAAAATAGGAATATGGCTAAATTTGTGAGTATGACTTCATAGCTTATGTCAATGTTTGTATGTGTTTCGTAAGTAAGTGTAATCGTAAGTATAATTAGTTCATCCATTAAAATAAAAAGATATTGTTTATCTTGGATTAGTGAAGATTTTATTTTTTTCATTTAATTCATTTATGATTTCATTGGCGTTATAATAAATAAACAAGGAAAATTTAACATAAAATAATTGTTATAGTTAAACCTAGTAGTTATTGTTATCTTGGAACATCAAATGGGACTTATTGTAGTGCTAAAACACCGCAAAATAAAGTCAAAAGCTGTAGTTAAAAATAACGTTGATTAGCGGGACATTTCAATGGTTATTCAACTGAAGGTTAAGGTATGAATAAACGTTTTAACGTAACTCGTAAAGCAACGTAAACTAACTGGTTTGGGCTCATAGTTCATACATTTAGTTACAATTATTGTACCTTCAAAATAATATAAGTATATGTAATGAAAAAAAGAGCAGTTTTTCGTAACTTATTCTTAATTTCACACTGAGGGAAATCAACCATTAAAAAAGTGTTGCTGTCCAAATTAGAGTTATACTACTTCATTGCACACAGTTAGTTATGACAAGAAAATCAGTTATTAGTATCTAAAAACTCACTTATTTGAAGCAATAATATATATTTGCTGCACTGACAGAAACATCATTTAGCCATAAGTGGTGAAATAAGCCTAACAAAATGTATGTTTTAAATAGACTAGAAACGTTGCAATGTTGTCATAATAAAAATATTTCGATAGGGTTCAAAAACTGTTTATTTATTATAGCAAGACCAGTTCCTCGTTACTATAGAAATCATACACATACATATGTTACAAATTATCTTATATATTGTGTTTTGTTTTCCACACATTAAAGATATGTGGTTCCCTGTTATGTACCTTGCAAACATCACATTAATGCAGACATCAATAAAGTATTCTGGAGATTAGTAAACAATGAGAGGAACAATTGTACATCTCATTCTGTGATTACTATTGATCCAACTGATTTTAACTTATTCTTCTCTTTGGTTTGTGATGCAGTCCAGTCTACTATAGAAAGTATTCAAGTTGATCCATTAGTATTTCTTCCAAGCCAGCATGTTCATTTTTTATGTCACCTATTTCAGTACAAGACGTCAAGCAGGCTATATTACTTCTTAATAATACTTCTAGCTTAGATTATTACTGCTTAGTGACATGTTCAAGGCTTCTCTTGATCTTTTATTGGAACCATTGACATGTTTGTTTAATAAATACGTATATTAGGGAGTATGGCCTGACTCACTAAAAATTACTAGAATTTTACCTGTACATAAAAAAAGTCCACTCGATATTCCTGACAATTATCGGCCAATAGTAACTGTTCCCGTTATTAGTAAAATATTTGAAATTATAATTAAACTAAGGCTAATTAAATATGTTGAGGATAAATCCATATTTACTAACGCACAATATGGATTTAAGAAAAACAAATCCACGATAAAAGCACTTTTGGAAATAGTGGAAAATGTTGTGGAGGGACTCGATGAAGCCGCTAGCACGAAAGCTACTGATTGCGATCTCACCAAGGCGTTTGACTGTGTCAATGTCGACATTTTGGTTCATAAATTAGAGTACTACGGCATTAGAGGAAAAATGCTTAATATTTTATCCCCATATCTGTCCAACAGGAAGCAATATGTTAGTCTAAATAGAAATGAGTCAGGCTTTCTGCTTATTACAAATGGAGTCCCCCAGGGCTCGGTCTTGGGCTCAATATTGTTCTCGTTGTATGTTAATGATCTTCCTTTCTCTGTTGGGGCGAGTTCTTGTGTGCTCTTTGCAGATGACACAACGCTTTTAACGAGGAGTTCTATGGAGGTGCATAATGATAGTTTACTTTGTGCACAGACCTGGTTTTCTTCTAATAAGTTGAAATTAAACAACGCGAAATCACAAAGTTTATCGTTTACAGCTGACAAATGAGCGGTGAGTATCAATGTTAAACTGCTTGGCATAATATTAGACACTAGACTCAACTGGTCCTGTCACGTGGATTATCTTTGTCCCAAAATATCATCCCAAATATTTTGTCTGCGTCGGATTAAACAATGTCTCTCTCATGATGCTGTCCAAACAGTTTACTTTTCCACAATTCACTGTCGTTTAACTTATGGTGTTATAATGTGGGGTAATTCTGCTAGTGTTAGCATAGTATTTAGACTCAAAAAAAAGCAGTCCGCATTGTTGATGAAGCTGCAGGCAACTATTTGTTAAACACCAGATTATGCCGCTGCTTTGCGTTTACATATTTGAAACCTTGTTGCATATTCACAGAAATGTGAAAAAATTTCTTAAACAATCAGACGTTCATACTTACAGCACTCGAATGCGGATAATCTGCTGATACAGCATTCAAGGATTCAAACCACTAGCTCGAATAAGTTGAATATTGCATTATATAATGGTTTTAAGAATTATTTTAAAAATTGTTGTGTGAAAATGTTTAATTTTAAGGAGTTTTATAAATTAACTAAAAAGTTCCTATTGGGACATTGCTTTTATAGGGTTGAATAATTCTCTAATTACATTAAGTGTCCTTGACTATACATGTACTCTCTGTATGTAGAAATGGTCAATAAACTAACTGGTAACTGGTATTCAGCTATTCTTTTAAGCTTACATTGTTATTATTTTTGGTAATGAGCATGAAATATCCAAAATATCTGGGAATAACATTGGAACTAATTCACAGATTCTTGAAAATTCATCCGGATCAAAAACAGAAAATGTATCTGGATCAGAAAGGAGAGTGTTTAATTTCTCAACAAATTGAAAGAAGCAGAAGTTGATGATATAGACTATAGACATATTAGTTTTTTTTAGATATGTAGGTGATAATATTCATAATCCAAAAATAAACGCCTTTATGTAGGTATTGTATAAATATTATGTAAAATAATAATAACATGACTCTTAAAATCACAGGATATGTTATGATATTTACTAAAAAGTACAAATAATATTGCGCTACCTATCATGTCATTTTACAAGATATACAATTTAATATTTAAAATAATACATAACTGATAATGTAATATAACGATTTATTATGTAATATGTACATGAAAACTTTTTACCACTTGTATATTCCTTTAGGAAATTTTATTGTTGTAACAGCAGTGCAATCTTTTAGAGCCTATTTAATAAAGGTATTTTGTTAGACTTAATCAATTTCTGTTTGTAGCTAAAATAAAACATTTCTCTCAAGAGATAGTTTAAGAACATTTTATAGAACACGGAACAGCTAAAAAGTCTTATAATTGTATATTTTTGGACTGTAACTAATTTAATTAATCATAGAAATAGGTATAATTTTTGCAGACACGTAAATCTAGTAGCTAGACGCGCCCCCCTATGATTTTTAAGGCGTGGGGCCAGCGCAACAATAAATTTCGGTGATTCCTCGTCCCTCTCGGATTCTTACATGAGTCAGAGGCGCTCAATACGTCTGCGATCCTCATTTTCGGAATTCCGGCGACGACCACTTGTTGCAACATTCTCCGTGATATGCGAATAAGATTTATTTTCATGGGACGGGACCGAGACGGGAATACCGCTTCATCACTGCAACGGACTAGCAGGCGCTTTTGGAGGCTGCCCGACGATTTAAGAATCTGGCGAAGTAGCCAGTTACAGCTGAGTCAACGGCGATTCATGTTTTCTACATTTTCGAACCTGTGCATTAACATTTCA